TTTAGCATATGCTTCCTACCAATAGTGAGTACAGGAGCATGTTTCAGAAACAACAATGTCCCAGCATCCTGGATAACGTGGCGAAAAGCTTGAGTTTAGGTCAGTGGGCTGCTCTTCTACTGCCTTGTTGCAACTCCACAGCAGAATTAGATTTATAGGTAAAAATAAAATAATTCTCCTTTGCAGTAAAATAAATCGTTCAGCACAGTTTTAACAACAAATGGTCTTAAACACTGGAGTTAATGTAGAACTGCTAATTCACCTTTGAACCCTGAAGGTTGGTGAGCAGACACCATAGCAACACAGATAACAGTCTCGCCTAGTTAGTAGCTAACGAAGCGGCAAAGAGAGAGATAAGACAAACATCGATAATTTGGAGATGAATGGACTTAAACTGTGAAACAACAAAAAGTTTGAATTCTCCCATTCCACCTTAAATGGTGCAGAAGTTACATTCTGGCGCCTCAGTCACCATTTAAGGTGAAATGAAAAAATTTGTACAAGACGTTGGCGAATGAAAAACTGACTTCAGTCTTGTAAAAGATCTAATGTTGAGAGACATTTTACAACAAACTGTTCTACTTTTGCGGAAAAGTTTCCTGCTGGAGATGCGGGAAAAGCGGCTATAGCTGAGCTAAAGCTTATAGCAGAGCAAAGTAAGTCTGTATTTTCGTTTATATAATTTTTTTTGTCTATACTGGTACATCAGCACATACTGAGACATATTTACAGGTGGTTTGATTTTTCTTGAAAGGACAAAATGGCTATTCTTAACATTTGGTTGTGACCCCTGGTTTAGGCTTAAATGGGCCTTCTATCCTACAACCAGAATTTCATATTATTTGTCATGGAGGATTCTGGAGTGCAGCATTGATTCCCTCAGTATTCCCTCATCAATTTGACAGAATTCACATATGAAAACATTATTTTCATGGTTTTTCATTCATCAGTGATCTTTCACTACAATACCCAGCAATCATTACACAAATACATCATAAAACCATTAAAAATCCCTGTACTGTCGAACAATCCTGACTGCTAGCATAGCTACTGAACCACAGGCTAATAAATACGCCAAGCTAGCATTAGTGCAACTCTTACATTGGTCACCAAACAAAACTAAAGAAAACAGTGATTATTTCATTATTCAGCACAAAGTGGACACCAGAGACAAGTTTTTACCCTTAGACAAGAGAAGCAAACTGAGGAAATGTGTCTAGATATCATGCTAACCGCCCACATTAGCATTACCCCTGATAGCAAGAGGATAGTGGACGGCTGTTGGCCCGCTGATGGCAGAGCTGGTGGTCCACTGGCGTTTTGCTCAGCATTTTCTTTGCGGCCCATCGGCGGTTAAACAGAGTAATAAGCAAAACTTTGCTTATCATTGCACCACTCAGAGTCCAATTTACTGATTTTTCCTTCCTTCTTATCTTTAGTTACACTTTGTAAATTAGTTTAATAAATAATTTTAATCCAGCTCAGTGTCAGAAACAAGATTTTCTATAAAATGATTTAATTTTAGGCCTAGTCATTATTTTTTTTCTCTCAATTGTTTGTAATATTTGTCTGTAAGTTTATTTTCTAAAATAAAAGTCTCTGTGCATTTAAAATCTGTTTGAGGAGATTAAAAACTACTACAGCTTGTATGCAGGACAGTAATCTGGGTGGTCCGAGGGCGGACCAGCAGTGGTGAACAGTCAGTGGGGTGCCGACCTTTTCAAACGAGCGGACCGATATATGCTCGCTGTCTGGGACTGATTTAGCTCGAGGCTACATATTATCATGCTTCCTTTTTTGGGGCATAATGACGGTGAAAATGGCAGAAAATCTCTTACAATTACCTCAGCCATGCTACAGCAGCTAGCAGTGTAGACTACAATGCTAACCTTCTGCTTAAAGCCTATCAATCAATCAGAACTTTATCCCTAAGAACACTTCAGAAGATCTATATGAGAACAGTGATTCTACGTTTATTCACTACAGCGTGAATGTCGGAGACAAGTTACCCTTTCAGCCAAAGAAAAGAGGCAAAACTGCAGTATGGGGGCTAAAAAGGTAACCTTTCAGCCCAAGGCTGCTGTGTCATGCTTCCTTTTTTCCCATAACTATGGCGGAAATCTCAGAAAATCTATTGTAATAGCCTCAGCCATGCTACAGCCGCTAGCAGTGCAGGCTACGATGCTAACTTTCTGCTTGCGGCCTATCAATCAGAACTGTATCCCAGAAATGCTGCACATGATCTGTTTGAAAAAGTGATTCTATCACTATTAAGTGTCACCAAAAACACTTTTTTCCTTTTCAGCCAGAGAAAAGAAGTAAAGCTGAGGTATGGTGTTTAGATAAGGGCTAATTAGCATGTAGCTCGTGGCTTATTCCCTCATCTGACGAGTCATTTTTATAATCTGAGTAGTCTAATCTCATTGATACTCATTGTTACTAAGGTTACTGCTAGGAAACTGAACAATCTAATTGAACTGTTCAGTTTCCTAGCAGTAACCTTAGCTTTTGGCTAAAAATATGAAAATACGAAGCAGTTTTTCCTCACACCTTCAAGAGACATCATCAGATGAGGGTTTCATTAGTCTTTAAACTGGCAAATAACACTCTGGAGTCTACTGTAGCACCGAATTACGGCGGATGTACTGATGGTTACATGTTTAATTTTGGTCATAGTGCTATATTAATTTATCTAGCCGAAACAAGAAATAAGCCCCACATCTGCATATAGACAGACTCAGAGTCTTCAGACTTCAGACTAGAGTCTTTCTGTTTTGCATACATTATAGTAAACACACTCACACAGATGTAAACACAAACCCTTATGCTTTACTTTCTGGAATTATAATTAAGCTATTGTGGATTTTATAACACTTTACTTTTATAAACATCAGATTTTGCACATGAACCTTAGTACTGGGTGAAAACCTAACATTTCGTACTACAATACCGCCCTCTGCTGTCTGAGATACATAAAGACATCAAGACTGTATGTAACCAGCAAGGCAATACAAACTGTACAGGAATCAGAGCAGTTCTCTTTAATCCTGGAGGGTCATGGCAACGTACAGTTTACTGTTCCCAGATAGTCAAGAGGATAGCAGGCCACTGCTGACCCACTGGCTTTTTGGTCAGCGTTTTCCGTGCGGCCACTGGTGGTTAAGTGGAATATTAGACAAAATGCCACTTTTCAGCGCTTTTTTCCACTCACAGTTCAGTTCTAATCGTTTTTTCTGCTTTTCTTTTCTTATACTTTGTAAATTAGTTCAGGTCATAGTTTAGGGCAAAGGTAGATTCTGTGAAAAAGTATTTGCCCCTCACCTAATTTCTTCTATTTTTGCTAATTTGTCACATTTAAATGTTTCAGATCATCCAACAAATTTTAATTAGTTATGAAGACAAAACAAATAAACAGGAAATGCAGATTTTAAGTGATCATTCCATTTATTGAAGATAAACCTATATCACCCCTGTGAAAAAGTAATTGCCCCCATAAACCTAATAACTGGTTGTGCCACTGTTGGCAGTAACAACTGCAGTCAAACGTGTGTTATAACTTACAATGAGTCTTTTACATCGGTGTGGAGGGATTCTGGCCCACTCAGAATTGTTTTAATTTGGTTACTTTGGGGGGTTTTCGAGCAAGAACTGCCCATTTAAGGTCTTGCTTCAGCGTTTTAAAGGGGTTCAAGTCAGGGCTTTGACTCAGACACTCCAAAACCTTAGTTTTGTTTCTTTGGAGACATTTAGAGGTGAACCTGCTTGTGTGCTTCGGATCATTGTCCTCCTGCATAACCCAGCTCTGCTTGAGCTTTAGGTTGTGCACTGATGGGCCGAACATTCTCCTTCAGGATTTTCTGACAGAGAGCAGAATTCATGGCATCACTTATGACAAGTTGTCCAGGTCCTGCAGAAGAAAAGCAGCCCCAGACCATCGCACTACCACCACCATGTTTCACTGTTGGTATGATGTTTTCACGGTGGAATGCGGTGTGAGCTTTACACCAGATGTAACGTGACGTGTAATGTGTGTGAAATTGAACCCAATAGTCAACTGAATTTGGCTAACTGGTTAATTTAGTAGCTATTACTTACTACTACTGTAGGGCTGAATACTGTTTTTCCTACAATAAATAAAACCATCATTTAAAAACAGCATTTTGAGTTTATTTGGGTTACCTTTGTCCAATGTTAAATGCGGTCTGATGATCTGAAATATTGAAGTGTGACAAATATGCAAAAATAGAAGAAATTAGGAAGGGGGCAAATACTTTTTCACAGCACTGTAAGTCATTTTTTCCCTCTCATTTGTTTGTAATATTTGTCTTAGTTAAATCAGTCAAAATACAGGACTATGTGCATTTAAAATCTGTTTGAGGGGATTAAAAACTGTGTAGGACAATAACCTGGGTGGTCCGAGGGTGGGCCAGCAGTGGCGGACAGTCAGCAGGGTGCCACCTAATCAAGCCAGCGGACTGATATATGCTCGCTATCTGGGGTAAGTAAAAGAAAACACTTCAACACGGAAATCATATTGTCCAGATCTGAACTGTGTAGTAGCTTATTCTGTGGAACCAGCACAAATAATTCCAGTTTAAATATCCTGAGGACATCATTCCAGTGTTTATGAGAGGTCACTTCTGAATGGGATTTGGTCACTGGTAGACCACCCATCAAACGGAATTAAAATAATCATCCATGTTCTGCTCACAAACGCATTTTTTGTAGTTACTGTTGTGAGGAAACACAGCTTTACAGTACAGAATAAAAGTCTCATTCAGTCTAATGAGAAATCATAGCCAAAATATATACAATTATAGTGTTATTCATTTCAAATATTTTCTCATTGCAGGCTCTAAATGTAGGTATGGTGATATAAACTGAGTCTGTTCTACAGTTTCTCATTAGGCTGAATGAATAACCGACTCTAAATGTAGGTATTGTGACATAAACTGAGTCTGTTCTACAGTTTCTCATTAGGCTGAATGAATAACCGACTCTAAATGTAGGTATTGTGATATAAACTGAGTCTGTTCTACAGTTTCTCATTAGGCTGAATGAATAACCGACTCTAAATGTAGGTACTGTGGTATAAACTGCGTTTCACATTAGATTGAATGCCATTTTTGCCAGTGCTCTGTTAAGCTTGTCAACCCTCGCACGATTAACTACGATAGATGAATGCATTTGTGGGCGGAGCATGGATAGGTCAATTCACTTCAACCCAAAACTACAGAAAATAATTTAACCACACAAAAAAATCAGAAAATGTCGCAAAGTTCTACGTCAGTTCTACGTCAGGTTCTGTTTTTATGATCCGCTAAATATTTTAAAAAATACATCTATTAAAGAGTTCTTCATCAACCAAATGAGTTTCAGAGTTGGATTCAAGCTCGGGTGGAAGGACAAGGTCGCCTGCGGCCTGTGTGGGCTCTGACGGGGCGGCCAGCTGTGCTGCTCAATCCTCCGGGGACCCCCTGTCCGGCAGGGAGTGCAGTCCGCTGGGAGAGCCTTCCGGCTGGGCAGCACTAACGGGACTCCTGGGGGTTAACTCCTCATCCTGGGAGTCTGGAGAAGGCTCATTTACGTCCTAGACAGAGCAATAAATAACACACATGCTAAGTTTCTGGGGAATTCATGGAGCAGTGAAAAAAAAACAAAACATACACAGTACTGTTTAAAATACATTGAATGCCAGCCAATAAACAAAATATGTCTTGATTTAGAGATATAACACACATCATAACAAGCCCTCTCGAAAATGGCAACTGTATAGAAGAAGGTTAAACATTCTTAAGCGTATGTTGAGATTCCAAGTAATTGTTGACCATTTGCATTAGTCTATTTGCCACTGGACTCTGTGGAGTGACCAATCACGCTTCTCTATCTGTCACGATGATATGGGGTTGTTTTTCAGGGGTTGGTCTAGAACCCTTAGTTCCAGTGAAGGGAAATCTTAATGCTTCAGCACCAAGACATTTTGGACAATTGTACACTTCCAACTTTGTGGGAACAGTTTGGGGAAGAACCTTTCCTGTTCCAGCATGACTGAGCCCCAGAGCACAAAGCAGCTCCATAAAGGCCTGACTGGGTGAGTTTGGTGTGGAAGAACCTGACTGGCCCTCACAGAGCCCTGACCTCAACCCCATCAAACACCTTTGGGATGAACTAGAATGGAGATTGTGAGCCAGACCCTCTCGTCCAACATCAGTGTCTGACCTCACAAATACTTTTCTGGATGAATGAGCAGAAATTCCCACAGACTCTCTCCAACATCTTGTAGAAGCTTCCCAGAAGAGTGGAAGCTGTTAGAGCTGCAAAAGGGGACCAACTCCATATTAATGCCTATGGATTTAGAATGGGAACCATAAAAGCTCCTGTAGGTGTGATATGGAAGTAATACTTTTGTCCATATAGTGTAGGTTTTGATGTGACAGCTACAACATACACATGCTAGGAACATGCTGTGTTCAGAAGTTTTCATAACTTTTTATAATTAGGATTGAGTCCGAATGTTTACTTTGTCATAAAAGTTAAATCTAATTTACAAGCAATTTAGCTTCTCTCTAATGTTATACAGTCTCATGTATAAAACCCATGGGAACCACTCTATATTCCACCAGAGGGCAGTGTAGAACCTGGGTCTTAAAGAGTCTTAAGAAGCACAGAAAGATTACTGTGGCTGGCTAAACGTTGCCACACACCAAACAAGGAGCCCTGTGCAGTAAATAGTACAAATTACAGCTATAGCACATAGGAAGCATTACAAAAAAACACAAATTAACATTTTATTCCTTACTTATATACATTTAATAAAATTAAACTTCCGGCATCACTTACTGAATTTATAATGCTTTGTATCAGCTAACTAACCTTTCACAAACTTACACAGAGCTAAAGATACGAGGTGAAATATGTTATGATGTGACTAGGCTAGTAAAAGCTTATGCTTAGCTTAAAAGTCCACTTATCTAGCACAAGTACACTTATCTAGCACATTTCACTGTATATGTGTCTGGGATAGGATCTGGATCAGGTGTAGAAACAGCAACAAATATGATTTAACACCATACTTACCTCGTCCCTTCTGAGGAAAGCATGCAACATAAACAGAAAGCACAACATTTATCCCATTCAAATAACTGCATTCTATTACACACAACTGTCCCGTATAGCCCTGGTTACCTGTAGGGGCTGGACTTCAGTGGGTGGCTGTGTCCTCATCATGAGGACCACCTCTTTGATCTGGACCAAGGCGAAGGCGATGGTAACCCATGGTGACACGCTGAGGGCCCACGCCGGTTTATTCACATCCTCCTGCTCCTCCTGGTGTTGCGTTTTCCGGGCCGGAAGTTTGGGCTCCTGCCAGACAGGAGGGGTCTCAGCCTCCTGGTTCTGGACCAGGTCTATGGTTGCTATGGGAACTGGACTGGATGGGACTGGGATGTTCTCCGCAAGCATCTTGTCCTCTGTGGGGTAAAGAAGAAATGTAGACAAAACTCTAAAACCCTCATTGTTTCTATATGGAGATCAGACAACCACTAAAACCCACACTGCTTCAGTCTTTATAGAAGTCAGTCTAACACTAAACCCTAACTATTTCAGTCTTTATAGAGGTCAGTCTAAAACTAAACCCTAACTATTTCAGTCTTTATAGAGGTCAGTCTAACACTAAAGCCTAACTATTTCAGTCTTTATAGAGGTCAGTCTAAAACTAAACCCTAACTATTTCAGTCTTTATAGAGGTCAGTCTAACACTAAAGCCTAACTATTTCAGTCTTTATAGAGGTCAGTCTAACACTAAAGCCTAACTATTTCAGTCTTTATAGAGGTCAGTCTAAAACTAAACCCACACTACTTCTGTCTTTATAGAAGTCAGTCTGACACTAAACCCTCACTATTTCAGTCTTTATAGAGGTCAGTCTAAAACTAAACCCTAACTATTTCAGTCTTTATAGAGGTCAGTCTAAAACTAAACCCACACTACTTTCAGTCTTTATAGAGGTCAGTCTAAACACTAAACCCTCACTATTTCAGTCTTTACAGAGGTCAGTCTAACACTAAACCCTTACTATTTCAGTCTTTATAGAGGTCAGTCTAAAACTAAACCCTTATTATTTCAGTCTTTATAGAGGTCAGTCTAACATTAAACCCTCACTATTTCAGTCTTTATAGAGGTCAGTCTAACACGAAACCCTCACTATTTCAGTCTTTATAGAGGTCAGTCTAACACTAAAGCCTAACTATTTCAGTCTTTATAGAGGTCAGTCTAAAACTAAACCCTAACTATTTCAGTCTTTATAGAGGTCAGTCTAACACTAAAGCCTAACTATTTCAGTCTTTATAGAGGTCAGTCTGACACTAAACCCTAACTATTTCAGTCTTTATAGAGGTCAGTCTAAAACTAAACCCTTACTATTTCAGTCTTTATAGAGGTCAGTCTAAAACTAAACCCACACTACTTCAGTCTTTATAGAGGTCAGTCTAACACTAAACCCTCACTATTTCAGTCTTTACAGAGGTCAGTCTAACACTAAACCCTTACTATTTCAGTCTTTATAGAGGTCAGTCTAAAACTAAACCCTTATTATTTCAGTCTTTATAGAGGTCAGTCTAACACTAAACCCTCACTATTTTTTTTATAGAAATCAGATCAATACTGAAACCCTTGCTATTTATTACAGAGGTCAGTCTAACACTAAACCCTTGCTACTTCTTTGCAGAGATCAGACCTAAACTAAAATCCTCTCTACTTCTTTACAGAGATCAGACCAAAACTAAAACCCTTGCTACTTCTTTACAGAGATCAGACCAACACTAAAATCCTTTGCCCACATTTCTGAAACTTCTCAGAATGAGAATTTTTATCAGTATAGGCTGATAACAGGTCAATAATGAGCCATTTTTTGGTCACAGCACTGCTGGAATATGAACTCATCTACTAGTGACAGGGCAAAACCTGACTGAAGAAATATTGAGAATTCATAAAACCGGATTTCATTTTTTCAGCTTTAGGGTGGGATTATCTCTGTACACAGAGCTCCAGATCAAAAGGGCCCCATTATAGAGAGAGCTGAGATTGTTCTGAATGTTTTGATACTTAATATGTGGGTATCATATTGTATGGATTTGCCTTTAAAGGCGTGTTTAAGAATATATGCAAAACTTAGAAAATGCCCTCAGACTGTGAGTTTCTGCCAGTTATTTTAATGTGAAAATTAAAACACAGACAGAAGCTTCGTTTACATTACAAGCCTTGTTGCTCAAATCCGAGTTTTTGCTCAAATCCGATCTCTCTGACACGAAGGTTCACACTCGTTTAGGTAAGTGACTCAAATCTGTCATTAATGTGATGAACCGGCATCCTGAAATGACCCTCATGAGCTCATCCTACTCAGTAACGTCACGTGAATGAATTACATCATCAGCACAAACTAACGAGCAGAACGAGCTTCACTGAGAAGATCATTAACTCTGATCAGCTCTCAGCTTCATTATTAGAGCGAGACGAAGGAGAAAAAGGTGAGATGAGCTGCTTTTCCACCGTTTACAGGCTTTAACTTCTGTTCGGTGCTGTTGCCATGGTAACGCTGAATGATGGTGCACGCGCAGTGGAAAAAAAGCACATGAATTCAGATCTGAGCATCACATTAAGGTCGCATGGCCACGAATCAGACACGTATCCGATCAAGGACCACATATGAAAGTGGCTCAGGTCGGATTTGAAAAGATCAGATTTGTGTCCACACAGCTCTGAAAACATCAGATCTGAGTCACATTAGGGCAAAGAATCAGATTTGTGCCACTTCAACCTGGTAATGTGAACGTAGCCAGAATGATATTATCAGTTACCCAAATTCTTAACCCTTAACATGGCATCAGCACCAACCACAAAAAGTTTATATTGTTTGAGCCCTAATTTGGAGTCAATCAGTACAAGAAAAGAACAAATTACTGATGCCGATGACCGATGACCAACATGAAGGCCCTAAAACACCAAACAAAGTGACCTGCAGTATCGAAGGTTCTCTTACCCGTGTCACTCTTCTCAGTGACGTGCTGGATGAAGGCGAAGAGCAGCAGAATGACCAGAGAGGCCATTCCGATCCCTCTGAACGTCTCCGCAGGGCCTGCAAACACAAAACACATTTCAATTCTTTATTTCATTCACAAATTAAAATAACACACAAATACAGCCAAATGCTTTATGCCTTCCAGTTGAGCACAAATGACTACATCAGCAATAATTACACAACAGTGTGGAACATTTTTATGAAAAAACAAAGGATATTTTCCACCAAACGACCAAACTAGCAACACACAAACACTCATATACAAAACATACCATTCAGTTATTCACACAAAGCTCAGACAGGAAACGATGACAGATGAACTACAAGTGCACTGGGCTGATATGTGTCACCACTATTGCAAGGAAACCCACATCCACCTCTGCGAGTTTTTGTTCGTTTTTTTTTCCTGTACTGTAAATTAAAAGCTTATTTAATCCCTTCTGCCTCCATTTTATGGTTTCTGGAGTTACAAAAGTCCCAAAATCCCAAGCAATAACTGAGTGTTGATTAGTGAACAATTGGGTCCAAACAGTGGAACACAGGTTTTCATTATTTCCTCAATAGCTGCTCTGTTATATTCATCTAAGCTCCGCCCACAAATGCACAAAATCATGGCATCTATTTAAGTATTCTTGCGTTTCACATGACGTCACACTGTATAGTCGCCGTCATTTTGAGGGCCGAGTCAGGGAGCGACTGCGCTGCGCGATCACGTGCTTTGTGAATGATTCACCGGCACGACAGAAGCCGAGAGACGAGAGACACACAGACCTTTAATTCAGTGTTTTCACTCCAGGCTTGGAGACTGCTGCACTGTACAGTTTAGTGTTCCTCTCTGCTGTTCACCTCGTTCAGCTCAAGAAGGGCTTAATTAGCTAATAATATCAGGTATTTTAACCAGGAAACCACAGTTATGCAGTGCAGGGGTTTCAGGACTGGAGCTGAACTCTGAACTAACTGAACTAGCAAACTTACAGAATCACGTCTGTCGAAACACGACGTCGTTTTCCGACCCACGACGTTCAGTCTGATATTTAACGCTTATGTTTCTCCATTCAAACGTCATTTAAATCTCTAGAAACAGAGAGTGAAGTTATACCGGCGGTCTGCAGCTCCGCTAGGGGGCGACTGTTCATCTCTCGGCTGTAAACATCAGCTAAAGTTCTCTAAAGGCCAGCGTTGATCACATCTGTGTTAATTAGCTGATGTCGTTCCTCCTATGATGTCAGAGTGTTTCTCCTCATTATGAACACCACGGGATCCTTTACCCACCCTGACGTGAAGAGCCGGTGGGCTTCTGTGCTTTTAAATGCTGTGAGAGACCCTCCAGAATAGGGAGAGGGGCTGAGTATGGGATCAATATAAATGTCAGGAAAACAAATTTGGTAGTTTTCTGCCAGTTTAAGTGGGACCAGGAGTTCAGGGTAAACTGTAAGGATCTCAGACTATTTTATCAACTTTGTCAAGGAACGTTTTTCTCTTCCAGAGTAAGGAGAGTCATTTTAGCCATATTTCACCTCTATTGGTGAGGTATTATTATTATTACTGGCATTAATCGGGTATTGTGATATAAAGTCTGTTCTACAGTTTCTCATTAGGCTGAATGAATAACCGACTCTAAATGTAGGTATTGTGATATAAACTGAGTCTGTTCTACAGTTTTTTTGTTAGGTTGAACTGAAAGTTGGGATTTTTGTTAGTCGTACCAAAGTAGTTGACGAAGACTCCGCCCACCATGGCACCACAGCCTCTCCCCAGGCCGAGGTGGAGACCCTGTAGAATGCCCTGAGCGGAGGTGCGGAGGGCGGGAGGGACGGCAGCGCTCAGGTAGGAGATACATGCTGCCCACACAGCTGCATGGGTCACACCTGCAACACACACATTAATATTATTGCGTGAAAACAGATACCTGTGTGTGTGTGTGTGTGTGTGTGTGTGCGTGTCTGTGGGAACTGATGGCTCCAGAGTAAACAGAGAGTGAAACGCTGATCATAAATCTATGAGCGCTGTAAGACGCTGTGCAGGCCACAGCCAGACATGCTGAAAGACACTGAAATGAAAGCGGAGCTGATCTGTGTTGAATGTTATCCAACCTGATCTAAATCAACATTCCTGCCTTTCATTAAAGAAACCACGCAAAGACAGACACACCTGCACTGACAGACACACAGATAGGCACTCACAGGCTTCGGAGACGGACGATCTTATCATTATTAACGTCAACGTTCTTAATCAGTCATTTTTGTGTTGAGATTAAGGCAAGATGACATTATAGATCGTTATTATGACAAAGTACGTCTTAAGCAATAGAACAAGCAGCTCGTTGTTACGTCAGAGTAACGAGCTCCGCCCACTCGCTGCACAGCCGGCAGTTCGTTCTCCAGCTCCTTACACTAAATTCCCAAACTGTCATCACCACTGAGCAGCTTTTCAGTCGGCAGCTGAGACAGAAGAACAGCTAAACAACCTGGAATCAGCCAGAAATTAAGTCTGATCTTCAGAGTCTGACCAAATCAGACTGAGCCATAAAACTGCCGCAATATCAAGTTCAGCTCAGTTTTGTCAGTTTTTGCCAGATCAGTATTAATGTTGTTTTGTTCCAGCCAGTCTGTAAAGCATCTTACAGCCCGTTTAGTTTGGCGAATGGTATTGGGTTCATTTCTGGCCGATTCCAGGTTGTTTAGCTGTTCTTCTGTCTCAGCTGCCGACTGAAAAGCTGCTCAGTGGTGATGACAGGTTGGGAACTTAGCGTAGCCTCATCTTCAGAGTCTGACCAAATCGGCTGTCGGTCAAATGTGATCTTAAAAGTGTCCATTTTCTGTTTGTGGCAAAGTAAGAAGTAAAAACGTTCAAATTGCTTGAGCGTCTCCTACAGTTGTCAAAGTCATTGCTTAGCAACGGCATCTCAGCGGAGTGATACAGTGTGGAAAAACTGTGTTGTTATAAATAACAGTTAGTCACAGTTAGAACGCCTCTCAACCAATCAGCTTGCGTGGCCGGAACTAACCTGTTGTATAAAATACAACATCGCTGCTGTTGGAACAAAACCTCGTACCTCCATTTTTTTCGGTTTTTGACATAATTTGAAAATGCCTGTTACCCTTTACCTTGTGTGTAAATTTCATGATGAATGGACCAAAAGAAACGACCCAAAATGGCTTGGGAAAACATCACAGGTACATGGTACAACATACAAGGTTTTCTTCTGACTATAGCGATATGCTCGTATGGTAGATTCCACAGCACTATCTGTTCCTATAGTGGTGACCATCATCCGGTTCCAGACGAAACTTCAGGTTTATCTAAACTTCCACTTGGAAGCTTTTTAAAGCGAAACCTGCCATTCGGCACACCAGGGGACGTTTCCTCTGTCATCCTGTTTCTATATTTGCGCCTTTCAGTAAATCCGTGCAGGAATTACGGAAGGAAGTTGGGGTCAAACGTGGTAGTATGATTAATTTGCGTTAAAAAATATTCTATTAATACGCGTCACGGTTTCCAGATTAATCGCAAGCGTTAATGGATTAACAGCCCTAGTTTTAACACGAAATCTTAATGATGCTACAGGTTTTGTTTAGGAAAAGAGTGATAAACATCGGCCTCAGCAGAGCTGCTGTTCAACAAGAAAAAGAGGGAGAGAGAGGCAGAGATATTTATAGAGAGGAAGTTCTATTTTAGGGCCGCTGACGTGTACATGTCAAAAGCAGCTGCACTCTGCAGATTCAAACAGGTGGATCTGAAACCGGATCATAAATCAACAAATCGAACACATATAAAGATCCTGAACGTGTTACACAAAACCAGAGAAGGCAGTGTTGTTAAACTCCTATTAGAACAATACAACAAGCAGTAACATGATCTGACAGTTTATCTTTTAAAAGGTATTTTTTTGTGATATTTATCATTTAATTTGGTCTGTATTATTTTCTTATATGAGTCTAAATTAAAACTTATCATTTCTTGTATTACAGTTATGCTTTATTACCTGTCTGTGAAGCACTTTGAGCTGCCACCGGCATGAAAAGTGCTATATAAATGAAAATTATTACTAAATTATTATTATTAATGAATTATAATACAAATAACCATCAGCTTCAGGCAACTAGTCATCACCTTACACATTAGAAGTGGCTATTATGATGATATGCTGACATTATTGTGATGAATCATGTCATTGAGCTTTTCTTAGTATATGACGGGTATGGTCAGTATGTCTAGAACATCTCAACTTTTAAAGAACGCAGGCTGCAACATTGGTGTCAGAGTGGTGTGTGGGAGGCAGAGCTGAGTGTGGGGGGGTGTAGGTGGTGATTACCCTGTGTTTTGCTGTTAAACTATATGATCTGTATTGAAACCACGTTTCAACAGAAGAATATAAACCGAAATGTATGAAAAAATGTTAAGACATTAATGTGGATCCTGATTTTTCAATATTTCTCCATAATTCAGTGTGTGAGATATAAACAATGCATCAAGCTGATTTTGGGACGTGTGGAGGGCCGGAACCGCCTGTAATTCCACATTAATTTATGTAGATGATACAAAGAGATCAACAATAAAAACCTGACTTGCTGCCATGACTGCTGCTGGCTGCTGAAACTGCTAGCATGCCACATCTGGTTCCTATCAACACCACTGTGAAAAATTCTGACTCTGTAAGTTTCTCTAGAATGGAGTGTTTCACACCAAACCGCTCTGAGCGAATTTTTCTTCACGTTATAATCATTTAATTGTATATAAATTTTGTGAAATCATTACTGAATAATGGCCCAATAACAGTATCTTTGTACCACTGTAACCCTCTTCACTAGAAATTATAACTGGTAATACAAATGCCACAATAATTGAGCGGTACTTTACCTGAAGCACCTCCATGGGCAGCACAGTCCAGGCATTCTGCAGGTAGGAGATGTAAAGGTAGCGCGCAGTGTTACAGGCCAGCCCAATGTACAGAACCCTATGGGAACACACACACACACGCACACACACACACACATTAGTGCTGTGAATAGCAAAGAACTGCAGCTGAACACCGTAATAATAAAGCACAATGTAGTGCTTGACTGACTACACTGTGTATCATGATCGGCCAGCACAATTTGTTGGATATTTATATATATTTCTTACTGTCAAAAGGCTGCAAAATATCGAGATTAGGGATGCAAATTTTGGCTAATTCTATTGACTGACTAATGAAGATTTGCCAAAATGCACATCCTTAATGAAGTGTACCCTATATGAACAGTACTTATGGTATGTGGACACCTGACCATCACACCTATAGAAGCGTGTTGGATGTTCCATTCCAAAGCTATGGGCATTTATAAACAATTTTAACTTAAGCTTCCCCTCTTTTCAGCTCTTCTGGGAAGCTTTCCATGAGAATTTGGAGAGTGTCTGTGGGAATTTGTGTCCATTCAGTCTAAAGAGCATGTGTGAGGTCAGACACTGATGTTCTGGCTCTCAATCGACGTTCCAATTAATCCCAAAGGTGCTCAGTGGGGTTGAGGTCAGGGCTCTGTGCAGGCCACTGGAGTTCCTCCACACCAAACTGGTCACGCCATGTCTTTATGGAGCTGCTTTGTGCACAGGGGCTCAGTCATGCTGGAACAGGAAAGGCTCTTCCCCAAACTGCTGACACAAAGCTGGAAGCAGATAACTGTAAAATGTCTTTGTGCTGCAGCATCAACATCACCCTTCACTGGAACTGAGGGGCCCCAACCCTGAGAAACAGCCCAGTCCATCATCCCTCCTCCACCAAACTGTACTGCTGGCACTGTGCAGACTGCCAAATAGAGAAGCTGATTCATCACTCCAGAGAACACGTTTCCACGGCTCCAGAGTCCAGTGTGCTTTACACCCCTCCAGCCGACGCTTGGCACTGCGCATAGTCATTTATGTAGTGACCACTTTGGGCTGACATCCTTAATTCACAATGATAGCAGTTGTCTGGGGCAGATCTAGCAGGGCAGATATTTCATGAACTGGCTTGTGGCAAAGGTGGCATCCTACATCAGTGCCTGGGCTCTTCAGTATGACCTATTCTACTGTGTATAGAGACTGCATGGCTGTGTGCTGTACATATATGCCTGTTAGCAATGGGTGTGGCTGAAACACTGATTAATTGACTCAGTAGGGCTGTCCACACACTTTTGGCCATATAGCGTTCTTTTTTTAAGCATATCATAGTGAATCACACCCACTCTGGAAGCTTATGAATAGTGCTGGACAACATGACTGACACCTCATAGCACCATGCAGAAAATGTGTGATGTATTTATGTGTTTATTATGAATACCAAAGAGAGAGAGAGAGAGAGAGAGAGGGAGAGAGTGGTACACAGTAGCTGATGTGGGGTCGGACTAAGTGATTGTAAAGAGAAAAGGCCCTTGTGCTCCTGAACAACGAGCCATTTTATTCTGCAAACAGCAGCAGCCCCACCCCCACCCCCAACACACACACACACAAACACACACACACAAGACCCACGACCCACTATTGCTGTTACAGCAAAACCTCTCAAAGAATTCATAGGAAGTTTCAGAGCTTGAAATATTTGTCCAAACTGTGAAATCTGAGCCCGACCCGAGCTGGACACACCAGCAGTCGGTCGCGGTTCGACATCATTTTTGTGTGTCACGTTCGGGTCAGGTTCAAATTTCACATTCGGGTTTTGCCAGTCCGACTCCCACTTCTAACAGATTTGGCATCAAGGTTCATGAAGCTCATGGCTTTGAGAAAACTGATGTGCGGGAAATATAACAGCGAGTCGATTCAGGAGAGTAAAGATAAGTAGGGCTGTCATGATTATAAAAGCTGAGGCTTAATTGTCATATAAATAATTGCAATTAGTGATTTAATTGTCTTTCCTTGCTCCTTGTCTACAGCTATTCAAGTCCCAGGTAACACAGAGTAAAATGTAAAAATGTTGAGTGAATATTAAAAAGCTTGAACAGAAAAATATAAGATATAAATATGATTAAACACTGCTGATAAGCCCTATCTGAGAACTGAGTGGGCGTGGCTAATGAGCAGCTTGATTGACAGCTCTCTGTCCAACACTCCTAGCCTGCTCCGCCCCCATACAGAACTAGAATCATTATCCAGCTTTTATGTGATGCTAACTGGATGATAAAAGTCACAAAGAAACAGATGTGCAGATGGATGGACGAACAAATGGACAAGCGACGCAACATGTGAACAAAATAAGTAAACAAATAAGTGACCCTTCTTAGTCCCACAACGGGGAAATTTCACATCCGCATTTGACCCATCCGTGCAGTGAAACACCACATACACACTAGCGAACACACACACACTAGGGGGCAGTCAGCACACTTGCCCAGAGCAGTGGGCAGCCCTATCCACGGCGCCCAGGGAGCAGTTGGGGGTTAGGTGCCTTGCTCAAAGGCACTTCAGTCACATACTGTTGGCTCAGGGGTTCGAACCAGCGACCTTACGGTCACAGGGCTGGTTCTCTAACCTCCTGCCCCCACAAACAGACAAACGACCAATGTTGGTGTTGGGTAAACGAGTGAAAGGGCGATACAGTCAGGTGCCTACCTTGCTAGCTTGTGGTCTCAAAGTTCGGGACTGTTCTGTGTGTGGGCGGGGCCAGAGACGCAGCCTTGTGATTGGTCGGTGCAATGCTTATGGAAGTGTTACTCAAGATTAGGACCACCCAGTTTACACTGAGAGGATAGAAATATGGTGAAATATTTTGATCATTTATTAGTCATTGGAACATTATTCAAATAGCTTATTTAGGACATGTTTACTGTTTGCCTGCAAGAACGAGATTAACCTCATTTCTTTTATTTACATGTATTGGTAACACTTCACAATAAGAGCACATCTTTTAACGCTATTTAAGAGAGTAATAAGCATTACTAAGCAGTTATGTAATGTCACAACTACAGACACAGGAACTAACATTAGATTTTATTAAGCAGCTTATAACCTTAAATAATGCTGTACTATCATTAACTAGTGATAGTAATGATAACTAGCACATTGTTTTAGATTTTATTAAGTGGTTTATTAATGTGTTAATCAATGTAATTCGGTGGTTCTGGAGGATTCCTGCCCTGCTTGTTCAGGTGTTCCACTGTTGCAGCTAATCAGGGCTCAGTTTCCCATAAGCATAGTTAAGATCATCTTAACTGGTAGAGAGAGTGTACAGAGTAGTACTCGCTCTACCATTTTCTGTTCGAGAACGTTAGCACACATATCGCTGTTGTCGGAAGAAAACCTCGTATCTCCAAAATGGCAACTTTACAGGAAAAGGAAAAAACCTACTTTACTTGCAATGTAAGTCAATGGAACCAGAATTTTATCCAAGTCATTTTGGGCCGTTTCTTTTGGTCCATTCTTCAAGAAATTTACACACAATGTAAAGGACAACAGGTATTTTCAAATTATAACAAAAAACTGAAAAATGATAAAAATGGAGATATGAGGTTTTCTTCTATCAACAGCAATAAATATAGTCTAAATGTATGAGGCATAATTAATAATTATTTAATGTTCTTTGCAAAAATTAGTACACAACTGTTTAACAAATATTACACCATCGATATACATTTTACATTTTATTTAAGTATGTATATATTTCTTATATGTACTTTAACCACTGATGTCAATCATAGCATTGATAACTGATTGGATATAGAGAGAAGTTAGGCCTATTCAAATTTCAGCAGCTTTATTAAGTAATGTAGTTGATTAGTTTTATACATTTTTTTAACAACTTGCCAAAATGATGACAAACCAGCCCAAATTTTTTCCACCCACCAAATCCGACCAAAATCCGCCCAGTTTTGTGGGAGCCTGCCGCATCTGGCAACATTGGCCGCTTTAGACGTGTATTCAAGTCTGGCCCCACAGAGCTAGCTAGTTTACATTAGCCGTAAACTTATTTATACGTTGTCTCCCAAATCATTTCATGTCAGAATGAGCTGTTTTGAGCTCGACCCTGTCAGGAAAGTAGCGACGAGGAAGGCCGGCGCGACCACAGCCAAAGGTCAGTTCAACCACAGACATGATATCAAACTCTAACTTGTCTTACCTGATGTGACCCACCAGTTCGATGAGTTTGTGGCTGGTGAAGTAGGCGGCCAGCTCCGACACGTGGCTCAGGACGGAACACACCCCGAACAGCGTGGGGGTCCCATTCAGGTCCTCCAGGTGCCAGTAGAGGAAGGTGAAGACGAATCCGTAGCCGAAGCCCATGAACCAGGCCACGAACAGAACCGTGCTGTAGCGAACGCCACAAAGGAGCCGCAGCAGCTCCAGGTAGCGGAACTCCTGACCACCAGGGGGCTCTGTGCCCTCTGTCCTGTCTGAAGGTGGCGCACTGCTCTGGGATTCCTGGTTCCCACTCCCATCATACTCCTCCAGCCTTCGGAGGTCAAACTGGAACTGTGTGGCCACGATCAAAGCCATCGCCATCAGCACACCAAAAACGATAAAAGCAATCTGGTAGTTTTTATAGTCAGGCAGAATGCAGCCAACTACACCATCGATGATGTAGACCACGTGGGTGTGGTCGATCCAGATGCCCACGAAGAGCATGGCCAAACCCCAGCCCAGCGAACCCCACATCCTCTGCAGGCCGTAGCGGTCACGGTGTGGACCCAGATACTGCAGAGTCACCTGGGAAAACATCCAGAGATTCATCATCACTGTACATCCTTACACAAGCAGAGGGACTGAACAGACTTCGGAAGTCACTCGTCACCTATATTACAAGGTCAATAAGGAGTTTTAATATGGATATTGCTACATCTATGTTACATACAAGCTAACACACCCGCACATTCAAATGATGTCACGTGTACATGTGGTTAACATGATTATCTGATTAAAAACAGTCGTAAAATGTTACAGAGCAAAAATATGTGAAGAAGCAACTGCCGACACCCAAATATCCAAGACTGAGAACCTAAGAACCAATCAACTACTCTGCTTATATGTAGGTCAACAAAACTTTAAAATAGCTTCATATTAATTACCAAACAGTGGAAAGCACTTACTGAATCATTCATAGTAGGTACTGAATAATTCATAGTCGTTACTGAATAATTTGTAGTGTATGCTGAAAAATTCAGAGTAATTACTGAATACGTTCTAATAGATACTTAATAATTCATAGTAGTTATTGAGTAATTTCAAGTAGGTACTTAATAATTTCTAGTAAATACTGAATAATTTGTGATAGATACTGAATAATGTCTAGCAGTTACTGAATATACTGAATAATAAATTAATAAATTCACAGTAGATACTGAATATTTTCTAGTATATACTGAATAATTTCTAGTAAATACTAAATAATTCATATTAGTTACTGAAAAATTAAAAGTAGATAATGAATGATTTCTAATAGATACTGAATATTTCTTAGCATATACTGAATAATTCATTGTAGCTACTGAATGTCTAGCAGTTACTGAATATTTTCTAGTATATACTGAATAATTCATAGTAGATACTGAATATTTTCTAGTACATACTGAATAATTCATAGTAGATGAATATTTTTAGTATATACTGAATAATTTCTAGTAAATACTGAATAATTCATTATATACTGAATATTTCCTAGTATGTACTGAATAATTCATTGTAGCTACTGAATATTTTCTAGTATATACTGAATAGTTCATAGTAGATACTGAATATTTTCCAGTATATACTGAATATTTTCTAGTATATACTGAATAATTTCTGGTAAATACTGAATAATTCATATTAGCTACTGAATAATTTCTAGTAGTTACTTAATGTTTTCTGGAATATATTGAATAATCTGTAGTAGTTACTAAATAATTTATAATAAATATTCAATAATTTGTAGTAATTACTGAATATTTTTTGGTATATACTGAATAATTCACAGTAGTTACTGAATAATTAATAGTATATACTAAGTAAATAATAAGATGTACTGAATAATTCATAGTAGTTACTGAATAATTTCTAGTAGTTACTGAATATGTCTTGTATGTACTGAATAATTTGTAGTAGTTACTGAATAATTTCTAGTATATACTGAATAATTCATAGTAGTTGCTGAACAATGAAAGGTTAGCCATTTTGGATGGAACGTGTCCACAGAGAAGACTACGCACCGTGTCCACTATCGTGACTGCAGGCGCGCTGAAGAACTCCCCGATGATGATGACCAGCAGAATGAGGAGGAAGATGGCCTCCACCTGGTCAGGGTTGTAGTCAATGACATATTTGGGTGGTTTGGTGGTGGTGGTGGTAGGAGGTGATGGAGTTGTGGTGGTGTTAAGGGGTTGTAGAGGTGTGGAGCTGGAGCTCATGGTGCCTGAAGCTAAAACGGTGGTGCTGGACTGAGGACGCATGGTAGAGCTCAGGTTCTGGTCAGAAAACAAGCTAATGCTAAGATTAGCATCTCGTTTGAACCGGCGCTGAGAACTGTAGCCCAATTCCTGATTGGAAGACAACAGAGACAATCTGGCAGGATGTCCAATCAGATCTCGGCGCTGCCTAGTGTGGTTGGCTGAGGCGTTAAGTGGCAGGGCTGTTCCTTTCCCAATGGTGGAAGCCACAGTTGGGCCTAAAGTGCTGCTAGTGGAAGCTGGAGCTGGAGCTGAAGTCCCATTGGTGGAAGCTACAGTTAAGGCTAAAGTCTCATTTTTAGTAGCTATAGCTGGAGCTAAAGTCCCATTGGTGGAAGCTACTGTTAGGGCTAAAGTCCCATTGGTGGAAGCTACTGTTAGGGCTAAAGTCCCATTGGTGGTAGCCATAGCTGGAACTAAAGTCCCATTGGTGGAAGCTAAAGTTGGGCTTAAAGTGGTGGTTGTCATGGGTTTCTCCAGTCTACAGCTCATGGCCGCTGGTTTCACAAAGCCAATCCCGCAGTTAAACATCAACCAGCAGAAAACAGAAAACAACAACACAACCTTTCCCTTCCTGTATCGGTCGGCCACCACGCCCCAAAAGGGGGCGCTGCAGAACTCGATGAAGTACCTGATCCCCACCAGCAAGCCACTGTGGCTGGGGGTCATCCCCAACTGCTTATAGTAAACAGCCAGCAGGGGGTGCAGCGAGCCATAGGCAGCGTAGAAGAAGAAGTAGAACACTTTGGAGACGAGGAGGTGCCGGCTGATCCGGAGACACATTCGCTCACAGCAGTTCAGCTCATGCTGTGGATCTGGGGTCAGTACTGCTGGGTCAGGGTCAGTCGGTTTGGATGCGGGTGTGGTGGTGGGCTCCCGGACCTCCAGCGAGAGCCGATTAAAACGTTGAGAAAGAGCATCGGTCCTTTTCTGCTCCTCATCTTCTTCGTCCGCCAGAATGGCCATGCGGTCATCGTGCGCCATGACTCCTACAGCAGGGCGCCAGTGAATCCTACAGCAGGGAGGAACAATAAGTGAATTTTATTTGAAATTATTTTTGTTTAAAACATAACATCCACTCTCTGGTCGTTATTATGCGTTATTATGCAAAATTAATACTTTGTAGTAGATACTTAATCGCTCATAGTAGATACTGAGTCATTCATAGTAATGACTGAATAATTCACAGTAGATTCTGAATCGTTCACAGTAGTCACTGAATCATTTGTATTGCATAATGAATCATTTATAGTAGATACTGTATCACTCATAGTAGTTACTGATTAATAAATAGTTAATACTTAATCAATTACAACAGTTACAGACTAACTCCTAATAGATACTGAATCATTCATAGTAGATACTGAATAATCATACTAGTCACTGGATCGTTTATAGTAGTTAGATAATAACTGAATAATTCATGGTAGATATTGAATTACTCTGAGTAAATACTGAATAATTTCTAGTATTATCTGAATAATTCATAGTAGAAACTGAAACACTGAGTAGACAAGGAAAAAATCATAGTAGATAATAAATCATTCGTAGTTAGATAATAACTGAATAATTCGTAATTAATGATTATAATGAATATTATAATTATAATATTATAAAGATTATAATGAAATAATGAATAATTAATAGTTGACACTGAATCATTATAGTAGTTCCTGAATCATTCACAGCAGATGCTGAATCATTTATAGGAGATACTGAAACATTAATATTAGTTACTGAAGCATTTATAATAGATAATGAATCTTTTTAGTAGTTGCTGAATAATTCATAGTAGACACTGAATCATATTAGTAGTTACTTAATAATTCACAGCAGATACTGAATCACTTATAGTGGATTCTGAATCATTTTAGTAGTTCCTGAATGATTCATATTAGACACTGAATCAATGGTTCACGGGGTTAGTAAGATAATAACTGAATAATTCGTAATTAATGGTTATGATGAATATTATAATTATAATATAAAGATTATAATGAAATAATGAATAATTAATAGTTGACACTGAATCATTATAGTAGTTACTGAATCATTCATAGCAGATGCTGAATCATTTATAGGAGATACTGAATCATTTTAGTAGTTACTTAATAATTCACAGTAGATACTGAATCACTTATAGTGGATTCTGAATCATTTTAGTAGTTCCTGAATGATTCATATTAGATACTGAATCAATGGTTCACGGTGTTAAACGAGTGAATCTGTTGAAGGAATACAGAGAGAAGTAGAAGCAGCAGCTCTTCAGTGCATAGAAAGTGAGGAAAGCACAAAAACAAACTACATGAGACGCGTGAGGAGAGTGAGGAGAGCGAGGCGCGTGAGGAGAGTGAGGAGAGTGACAGCAGCTCTGAGCTGATGAATGGCGCCGTCTCTCAAACCCTCCAACATTTGCGGAAGCGCACACACTTCCTCCAGCCTGCTATCGCTGCGAAACGACCGCTCTTTATTCCACTTTATGGCATTTAACCGGTCAGTCAGGTACGCCCTTAAACTGGCCTCGGCGGCTGTTCACCTGAGGCTGAGACTGGCGCCTCATTCGCCACCTCATTGTTCGAATTTTCCGTTCCACCTTAAATGGTGCAGCAGTTCCATTCTGGTGCCTTAGGCACCAGAATGGAACTGCTGCACCATTTAAGGTGGAACGGAAAATTCGAATAAGAAGCCGACTCCGGGCTGTTGGGGAGGGGCTTAGCAATGTTATGGCAGGTAGGCAGGAAATGGAGGAGTTTACGCAGTTCAGGTCAGAAAGATGAAGAAAAAACACAGGTGTTTAAACGACAACGCTCTCTTTTTTACCTGCCTTTCCTCTCCTTCTGCTTTTGGAGCGGGCAGGTATGAGGTTAACTCCTCCGAGCTTCCATTTCTGATCTTCTCCGCTCTCCGTTTTCTCTCTCTTCCTCGTCTGGTTGCCAGAGATGCGCGGTGGGGGGTTTTACCGGCGAACCTTCTCCGTTTCTCTAACACTAAGCCCGGTTCTCTGCACTGTTCTCTGGGCTGCTTGGGGAATTTCTGTCCGCGGTTCGGTGGCGAAGCTCCGGCTCTGTGTTCACCTGCGCGCTCTGTGCGGAAGCTCTGCCCTGCCAGCAGGGTTGCCAGATTGGACAGCGGAGAAGCTCCAGAAAAAACCCAAACACCTACCCATTCAGCCTACAGCAGTTAAGCCACACCCATTCTAATAGTGCCTACTGAATAATTCATATTAGATTCAGAATAATGCGTAGTCAGTTTCCACATCCAGTTACTAGATAATTTCTAGTATATACTGAATAATGTATAACAGATACTGAATAGTTTAAAGTAGGTACTGAATCAAAGTGAATATTTTATAGGATATACTGAATAATGTCTAGTAGATACTGTTTAATTTAAAGTATATACTGAATAATTTAAGGTATACACTGAATAACATAGTAGATATTAAATAATTCAAAGTAGATGCTGAATAATATAAAGTATATACTGAATGATAGTGCATAGTGCATACAGTTTATAGTGCATACTGTATAAAGTATATACTGAATAATTTCTACTATATACTGAATAATTTAAAGTATATACTGAATAATTTCTAGTAGATACTGTATAATTTAAAGTATATACTGAATAATTTCTAGTAGACACTGAATACTTTAAAGTATATACTGAATAATTTAAAGTAGATACTGAATAATTTAAGGAATGCATTCTCTAATTTACAACAGATACTGAATAAATGCCTTTGTTTTTCCAAAACAAGCCCACGTCTCATGGTTAGTCAGCAGTTTGGTTGCGAAGTTCCAGCACTGTGATCACCTGCGGAGACGCTGACTTGGCAGAAAGGTTGCCAGATTGGACTTTTTTCTTAAACACAAGAGTGTAAAAAAGTGAGTTTGTCACTTCATCATTAAATGAAGTCTTTTGGTCACATGATTACTACTAATGTTTAACAAAACAAAACAAAACAAAAAAAAAACAACGGTATTTGATTGTGAGGGATGAAATTTCATGATGTCATGATTTCATGTAATCTAAATACTTTGACAGAAATCTGACCCTAGATCAGCTTTAAATGCATTTGGGTCAAATTTGTTTGTATTTTGTCGAGTATGGCAAGTGCATGCTATGACTCAGGGTTGCCAGATTGGGCAAGAAGAAGCAACTTTAAATGAAGAACAGAAAGAGTGGACAGAAAAAGAAAGTGGAATAGAAAGTGGACAGATGTCACGGCGAATGTAGAGCCACTATTTTTAACCTGTGAATGGTGTTCATGGTGCTCTAATAAGTAACTTGACTAGTCCATATAAGTGCTTAACTGTTTAGTTTTTTTAATTATTCATTAGCTTGAGCCTTTACTGCTGTATCAAAACAGTTCTTTAGCTATGAGGCTTCTAACAGCAACACATATTAACAGATATGATTGCTTTTTTCATATAAGCTGGATGTTACATGTTGCATCACATCAGTGCTGAGGAAATGATACGATAGGCCTGCCTTATAAATATTGTCTGAGATAGACCTCACCTCGCACTGCAAGATGAGAAGAGGAGGCCGAGACTGGTGAAATGTGCTCTTCAACTGGACCCGAACGGACTTGGATGGGTGGCGGTGTAACACCATAAAACGGTTAGACCACGATAAGACTAACTGTAACACCATAAGACTAAATGTAACAGTAAAAAACTCCAAGACCACTATAAGATAAACCATATTACTAAAAAAACAAAAGTAATATATAGTAACACTATAAAACTTTAAGACCAGTATAAGATTAATTGTAACACTGTAGGACCGAATATAACTCTATAAGACTAAATGCAACACCGTAAAAACTATTAGACCACCATAGGACCAACTGTAACACCACAAGACGATATATAGACTATAAGATAGACTGTATCACCATAAGACAAAATGTAACACTATAAAACTTAAAGACTACTATAAGACTAACTGTAAGACCACAAGACAAGATGTAACAATATTAAACTTTAAGACCACTCTAGGACTAACTGTGAGACCACCATACAAAATGTAACACTACAAAACTTAAAGACTGCTATAAGACCCACTGTAACACCACAAGACAAAATGTAACTTTATAAAACTTTAAGACCACTATAAGACTAACTGCAAGACCACAAGACAAAATGTAACGTTATAAAACTTTAAGGCCACTATAAGACTAACTGCAAGACCACAAGACAAAATGTAACGTTATAAAACTTTAAGACCACTATAAGACTAACTGCAAGACCAAAAGACAAAATGTAACACTATTAAACTTAAAGACCACTCTAGGACTAACTGTGAGACCACAAGACAAAATATTACACTACAAAACTTAAAGACTGCTATAAGACTAACTGTAAGACCACAAGACAAGATGTAACACTATTAAACTTTAAGACCACTCTAGGACTAACTGTGAGACCACCATACAAAATGTAACGCTACAAAACTTAAAGACTGCTATAAGACCCACTGTAACACCACAAGACAAAATGTAACTTTATAAAATTTTAAGACCACTATAAGACGAATTGTAACACCATAGCACAAAATGTAACACAACAAAACTTAAAGACTGCTATAAGACTCACTGTAACACCATAGGACAAAATGTAACACTATAAAACTTCCAGACTGGTATAAGACTAACTGCAAGACCACAAGACAAAATGTAACGTTATAAAACTTTAAGACCACTCTAGGACTAACTGTGAGACCACAAGACAAAATGTTACACTACAAAACTTAAAGACTGCTATAAGACTAACTGCAAGACCACAAGACAAAATGTAAGTCTATAACACTTTAAGACCACTGTAAGACAAGCTGTAATACCATAAGACAATATAAGTCTGACACTAGAAGGCATATTCGGGCCTGCATCCAGTCCAGCTTTAGAACAGGAGCTTTCTTCCTATCGTTCTCTCTCCTCCCTCCTGTTAGCCTATACTGACCTCTAGTGACCAAAAGCCTGGTCTGCAGTGCCTGGTATTATGCAAAGGGACTTTGTCATTCAGAGTGGTTTGGTGTGAAACGCTCTGTTCTAGAAAAACCTACCGAGTCAGAACTGTTCACAGTGGTGCTGATAGGAACCAGACATCCACCTCTAAAAGCTCCTCACAGAAAGTTCCTACATGAAATGGTTATGAATTCACTGCCTGATGACTGAGACGCTGTTTTACGATAGTTCTGAGAAGATTTTGGCCTTAAAATCCATTCATGGTGGAGGGATACATGATATGGAGGGTGTTGTGAGGCAAAATAGTCCCCAAAGAAAACTTATTATTACAGATTTTCCACTATTTTCCATCATCAACATTCCATATAAACTCAGAAGACTCGTGTAGGTTCACTGGTGGTTCTGGATAGTAAATAAAATTATATTTGTGTTGTAGTCATGGCGACCCCTGGTTCCTATCACCACCACTGTAAAGACATCTGAACCATTTCACACCAAACCACTCTGAATCACTCTGTTCACATCTCACACACTGAATTGTGAAGAACTTTAGAAACTTGTGTCCCACAATGTCCCTCTTTAAGTAACTAAAACCAATCCTGTTCCAGCAACTTCATCAGTATCCCTGCTCCAACACACCCACTGCAACTCATTAAAGGTTTGTTAGTTAGATGATTAGCTGGATCAGGTGTGCACTAAAATATGCAGAGCAGGATCAATGATATTCACAGTGGAATCAAAGCAATGAATTGGAGTGTTTTTGAAATCATTTATTTACAATTTATTGTACATACGTCATATAATATATATAATTTTTTTCATATAATAGAATGAAATCAAAGTGATACACTGATAAGTTGAAGGAATATGAAAACTAACTTTTCACAATTTTCCACTTACCCCAGATGTAGAAGATCAGCAAAGACATTTTGCTGATTTGGTGTACAAATTTTGTTTTTTAGTTTAATGCTGGAGCTACCTGGCTAACATTGCTAAGGAAAAAACACTAAAAAGTCAATAGTCACCCAAATCTTTTCTGTAAACACATCCGTAAAATCTCAACCCAGGTTGTCATTCAGGTGGTGCAGAATTGTCCATGAGGTTTAGGACACAGTATGAAGGTGGATTTTGAAAAACTACAGCTGCTCTGCGGTGGATTATTTTGGGCCTGTTTTTCATTAGCTGGTGAAGGCAGATAGCTAACGTTACTGCTAGGAAGCTGACTTACTGCAGCGGTATAACCGCAGTAACAAGTACTCCTTACAGAGGAGAGAATGGAGTACTCAAACGACAGAAATGACTCATGAGATGTAGCTAAGCTAAAGTTAACAGGTTAGCTAACTAGCTAGCTAGATACCTCAGTTTGGCTCTATTTCTTGGGTTGAAAGGGTAAAAGATGAGTCTCTTACATCCATTTAGTGTTGAATAAACATAGAATTGCTGTTTGCTTCTTCTTTTGTGCGACCACTGAGGTAAGCATTACAGTAATGCTAGCTTTGTTGTGTCTATTAGCTTATAGATTAGTGGCTAGGCTAGCAGTCACAATTTGTTGACACCACCTGGATTCCCGATGACTGTATGATGCATTAGCTCAATGCATGCTGGCTATTATAGTGAAAGAACTTTGATGAACATGAAAATTATATAAAATTTTGAAGATTCTGTCAAACTGACAAGACAGTGGAATGCAATGCTACGCTACAGAATGTTGCAATAACACAACAAATAACATATTAAACTAAGTTTAGGTCATAAAGCCCATTTAATCCGAGTTAACTGGATATGTGAATGGTTCATATCCAAGAACGTGATATTCTTCTAGCATTAGCTACAGAGCTAGCTTTGTTTTGGGATAAACACACAACTAGCTTATTAGCTACTACTGCGGGAAAGTGGTGATTGACTACTTATTACATTTCTGCTTAACTAGTTTCCCTTTAACCACAATTTCAATAAAAAAAAAAGTTGGTCATGAGCGAAGGTGCTTTTAAGCTTGCTAACCATCAAGGCTAGCAGTAATTAGCCTGTTACGAGCGACTGCTGTTTCTTTTTACAGATTCAACAGCTTATCGTACAGTAGCTGTTTCAGATAAAGCTTTGGGACAGAGTTTTGGAATACACTGCCTGATGTCTGAGACATCATTTAACAATAGTTTTGAGAATTTTGGCCTT